TGTGTGTGTGTGTGTGTGTGTGAGGGGAAATGGCTCCACGTTATGTTGTGATTTATGATAGCAGTGGAGTGGCACGCCTGGCTGGCTGGCCAATTCCAGCATGGCTGGCAGCCAGGGCAAAGCAATACAAAGCTGAGATATCAGCTATACACTGAGTGGCACGTCAGCAGGGGCGGAGGGTATGTCTGAGTGTGGAGTGGTTTGTTTGTGCCCTCATCTATCTGTTGGGAGACACAGTCAGAGCAGCATCTCTGGAGCCAGGCAGCCTTTATCAGATAAAATCATCTACAGGATGGAGTCTGCATGTGTGCGGCTCTATTATGGGGGTATTATGCAGTAGGAGGTGGTCACTTCGTGTTACTGCGGTTTGATCAGGAGATGTTTGGACGTACTTAGCAAGGGAGCTCAGATGATTCAGTTGAGTAGAAGTTAGTGTTATACAGGGATGGGCAATTATTGTATTGTTTATTGAGAAGAAAACATTATCATGGTTTATCATAACATAAACTGTGTTTTTGCTGTTGGGAGAATTACTATTGGTTCTATTAGGAAAATATCAATATCCAAATATTTAAAATTAGAATTGCTTCCAACTATCTAATGTTATGTATTATAAGACAAGTCTGTTTCCTGGTTGGTATGGGGGTCTGCAATTATAGTTTTACAGCAAAAAAACACTTTTTTTGCTTTTTTAATGTCCCCTTTTATTGCAATATTATGTGGAATCAATTGTGATAACAGGAAAATTTATTGTAAAAAGTAAATGCCAATTTTCCACCGTGTTTTTGGTTCAGCATCTTAAATTACCCTTAACGAAAAACTCACTCTCACAAGTAATTATGCACCCACGTTTCATTAAAAAGTGTTAATTTACCTCTGAACAGCACATGATAAATACAACCAATCATATTTTAAAATATATTAATACTGATTGATGTTGATTAGTTCATTTTGGAGGTTTTATCCACCCACAATATTATTCTATTTATTTATCATGGTAAATCACAATCTTTATCTTGGTTAATTTCTCCTGCATGACAATATTAGGAAACAAATTACTATTCTGACACTTTTAACTCTTTAACACCAATGTTCCGAATCTTTGGAACACTTGTTGTCCGGTTCCTAGATTGAGGACTTCCTGGACCTTAGAACTATTCCATTGCATGGTTATAATTGCACGGTTACAATAGCCAATCTCGTTTGTCCAGGACCCTGGAGAGGTAGAAAAAGGTAGGTAGAACAATTGAGCAACAAACTGTAGCTTTACAGTTTAATAAATGTCTTATAGGGTCATGTAGAATAGCAATGAAATACAGGTAGGCATATACATTTGATTACCAAGAGAAAGCCATCTCCAGCTGATAAAGTCCCTTTTTATACATGTATTATAATTGATATATGTATTTAGATATCCTCACAGTAAACTGAGCATATTGCAAAGAAATATTAGAACATTTGAGTTGAGAAAATGAGCACAAATGGACTTTCACTGTTTTTTAACATTGATATCCATCCCTCCTGCGCTTTCTGACTCATTACTCACCTCAGTGTGTATCAGTGCAGAAAGATCTCAGAGTTAAACAGTGACCAGTCAGCCGACTGGCCGGCTCAGAGGAGAAAGTGGCTTTCAGTGAGTGGAAACAATAGGAAGTCATTGCAGCTGCAGCTGCAGTAATTCAACCCCCCCTTCCACTCCTTTCACTCTGTCTTTGTCATCTGTCTCCACGCCACTCTGGTAAATATTATTGCATTTAAAAAGCAGCTCCAGCAGATTAAATACAAGCAGAATTGATCTAAAATGTTGGCAGTGTAGTCTACTTGACACCCAGCTCTCTGCTGATTGGCTGGGGCCGGCTGCAGACCTGGCGTCGCGTCTCTGTATTGAGTTCAGCTGGAGACTTTCCAGCGCTGAAAGGAAACGAGAAGGTAAATAGGAAATGCAAGTGGGATACAGACAAAGGAAATGATTATACAACTCATGTTACCACCCTGTTTCCTCTCCTGGAGTGAACAGTCTGAACTTGAATTGTTGAACTCAACAGTAGGCAGCAAGGATAATGAGAGCGGGGAAGTTTCTGGTTTCTTATTGATCTTGGTTTTGAAGTTTTGAGACTTCAAACGTGATTTTTTTATTTATTCACATTACTTTTTGCTTTAAGATATATATATATATATATATATATATTTTTTTTTTTTTACTAATGAATTTTCATTTGTATCTCCTTAAGATGTTGTAATTGTACAGTGGAACAGATCAGCTTATTATACAAAGACTGCTTTGGGAAGCTGTCCTGTCAGTCACTCCTCTTCATTACTGGGAGTTAATGGGATTTTCTACGCCAATATTGCTGTGTTCCCTTTAGATCAGGCTGGGTTAAACTGTCATGCCATTCAGAAAATCAAAATATTCACTTCGAGAACGTGTTTGGATGTAAATATTTACAGGAAGCGGAAGAGCAAGGGATTTTTACGACTCTGCTTTTATGAATCCACTAAGCAGGAAGTGGGGTTTATATGTGTCAGGGTGCCTGTCTTTCTCTGGCAGTGGCGGTCAATATGAAAGGAGCCTGGACATAAAATGCTACCTTGTCTCAGCTCAGGGGAATATAAATCACACACTGTTTGGCTCCCTCACTGTAATGCCCCTCTTCCCAAACCCTGTGGTCAGTGGTGAACTGCAGCCCGAGAGCCCAGGGCAAGGCGTGCTGGCAACCAATGAAAGAAAGGGCCCAGGCCGTGCCTGTGCATCTCGTTAAGGAGACCGCAGCAGCATGGGCCTCATCCGGACGGGCCAACGGACTTCATTGTGAAACCACTCTGGCCACTGCAGTTCTACTTCACTCCAGTGCAGGGGTTCAACCATTTGTATCTTCTGCTAAGGCTACAAATGGTTTCTTTCATGTGATAAATTTGCCTTTAAATTCATTATGCAGGAGTTCAGAGGATGACATGAGAAGAATAACATGTAGCTAAAGGAATGTATAGTGGGTGAAGCAAAATAACACTTTTATTATTCTACATTTTCTGGAACCAAAAACATAATACATAGTTCTTCAACTAGGATTTTATTTTAGTGGTCCCTAGTGTGTTTAGGGATTTTCAGATGGATTCCAGACTCATAGAAAAACAAAGTTAACAGGTAGCAAGTTGCTGTATTCTCACAGCGCCTAAAAATAGTGTTTTATACTTAAACTGCTGATTAATAAAATGTAACTGAAACATCCATCCATTTTCCATCACACTATCTCCAGCTGTCTATGGGTGAGAGGCAGGGTATACCCGGGACAGGTCTCACACTCACACCTAAGGACAATTTAGAGAATTAATTAACAGTCCTGTTTTTGGACTGTGGGAGGAAGCCGGAGTACCCAGAGAGTACTCACGCATGCTCAGGGAGAACATGCAAACTCCATGCAGAAAGACCCTAGGCCAGATATCGAACCAGGAACCTTCTTGCTGTACGGCAGCAGTACTACCCACTGCGTCTCTGAGCAGGTTAAAAGTGAAACTATCTGTCACAGTATTTTTTTCCTACTGTTTGCCCAATTTGATGCCACAGGACCTAGTTAATAAATGTCAAATTTTACCCTGATAAGGAGCGTTTGATTCAACAAAATGGCTACTCAGATACTACTTTCTGTCAAAATAGGACATTAGATATAAGTTGTAAACTCAAAACATTCACCCTTATATCCACACCTGTAATTATCATATCTATTTACCAATTTATTATTGTTAAAAAAAATGTAATGTTTAAATATCGTGAGATTTTGTTCTTTTATTGAGCTGAAAATGAAAGAGTCCAACCCAAGGTCTCCACCCGGTCGCTGGTAGAAAAAAACCTAACCCTTTCTGGTTCAGCAGTTCGTCTGTGTAAAGAAGCAGGGCTAACATTCCTTCCAAAGCACCGGATTATGGGGGGGATTATCAGGGGTGTAAGAAATTCTCCGCTGTGTGTGTGAGTGAGAGTGTGAGCTTCATCGTCAGCATCTTCATTAGGCATTGATTTCACCCGAGTGATTGACGGCTTCGCAGCTGCTGCTTTGCTGCCGTCTCCCATCACACACAGGAACACGCTCAGTGCTAACTCAGAGTCTCTCTTTCCATCAGATTCTCCAGACTCTGGGCCTTCATCCAGTGATACTGGGGGAACGACGTACTCGGCCCCTGTGGGGCTTTCAGGTAAATATTCCCACCAATACATCTCCCCTTTATATCACCCATTTTCTCTGCTCTCTCCCCTCATCATCACCCTCCCCTGTTTTTCTTTTCCCTCTGCTTCGCATTCCTCCCGACACACACATCATCTCCCCTCCATACTTGCAATGATGAGGCGGTGATTGTGGGGGCCCCAGCTTCCCCTCTGCAATAAAACAGCCAGTGAAGGAGGGAGGTGCAGCTCTCCCACAGCCACATAAATTCTTCCCTTCTGGCTCTTTGAACAACGCTCCTCTCTTCTCCCTTCTTCTCTCCTATTGCTCTCTGTGTGATGTTGTAATGCAAGACAAACACGGCAGGCTGTTGTTTGTAAAGGAATATGTTCAGTCCATGTTGTGTACTTTAAGAGAGGAAACAAGCAGGACTAGTCTTACATTTGAGTGTTTCTTTTTGCTGAGTTTCAACATACATTGGATGTCTTTGTAGACGGACACAAGCTCGCTTCACTCTCTCCCAACTTTGATGCCGAACGTGTTTCGGGCTCCGTGAGAGTCCCCCCTATAATCCCCCCTTGGCAGCGTCGCCTTCCTTACCCACAGGCTGCAGAATAAGATGATGCTCATGAGAGAGGGTTCGCTCTCCAGTGCTGTTCTCTGCTTTCATTTGCCGCATATGGTTCTCATTATAGAGCCTTTAAAGCCTGTTTTATGTCAGTTGGTGTTCGCTGCCAGTTTTTTTTTTTTTCTCCCTCCTTTGTTTGGTGGTAGGGGGTGGAAGGTTTAGCCTTTTCGCCTGAACGTGCGTGTGTTTGCGTGTGTGTCAGAGCTGAAGATCCAAAAATCACACCCCACATCCTCCTCCAGAGTATCAGGACGGACACTAAAGTCCTCCCTTTGTGGGTTAACTAAAGACGCATTTCATACATGGTTCAAACTATGAAATTCAAGAAGTGGAGGCTTAACAGGCGTCCTCCCTTCATTTTCCCCTCCTTCGGCCACCCCTCCTCCCCTGTTTTCCTTCCTGGCGATGAGGACATGGCCATGGCAGCCAGCGTCATTGGTGAATGGGCCTCCTCAGTTAGACTGGGACAAGTTGAAAGGCTGAGGCGTGATGGCCAAAGTGCTCTGCCCTCATGATTTTCCCCACAAGCCAAATGAAGGGGGTAAAAAAAGGCTAATCCATTCCTTCTCTGCTCCTTTTTCTTTTTTTTTTTTCACCCTCCCCGTTTTCCCGGGCTTGGCTCCCTCCCTTTGGGGCCCTGACAAAAGAAACATGGCTCCCCCAGAGGCCCTGCTGCTGACCTTCTAATTCACTCACTTTGCCCTTTTTATGTTCTTCTTCAGACAAATTCACAAAAACGAAAGAGTGGCTCAAATGAGACTGGAGGGCAGCAAGAGTTCTGCTTCTTTTTGCATTATTTTAGAATAATTAACTTGATTTCTTTGGGAACAATCTCAAGTGGATTGGGGGCGGTGGGTCGGGGGAAGGAAGAGCTGAAACAGAGGGAGTACTTCTTCCCTGTTTCTACATTCAGGAGAAAGCCTAGATTGCCCAGGCTGGAAGGAGTTAAGTGAACTGTGACAGCGACAAGCGCAAATGCAAACTAGGCTGCCTGCCAGACTAGCGGCTCCAAAGCTCCCCTCACTGGCCCACGTCATCGGCTTGGAACAGAACAGAGGGGAAGGGAAGAGGAGAGGAGAGGACGGCTGGAGCCGGGCGCCAGGGGCACCGATCTTGGCGAAGACCTAGATCATGGGTTTATAGGTTCACCCAGGCACTGAGCAGGGAGATCAGATTAGGGATTGAGAAATGGAGATCAGGTCAGGGTTAAGAGGGTGCTGGACTGTTGGTTATGAATCTCTGGAGTGTTAAGTAACTCTTAGTTATTAGCAGCTTAAGAGGCGTTCTTGTTGCCTGTCGAGCTTTAACATGTCTTTTTATTGAAACCACACATCCGTTCAATATGTTGCAGAATCTTGTATTACCCAGGCCTTCTATTTTTCACAAAGTTGTTCTTTATTTCTACTCATTTCATTGCAATACATGAAGAGAAATAATACACAATATTTAGATCATGAAACAGAGAATTGAACAGTAGGTTTTCTAAGATTCACAAGAGAAATTTTAGGTTTTCCAAACAGAAAATTGCCAGAAAGAAAACTGATCAATCAAAACCTGCAGCATATTCCCGTCCAGGACAGTGGTGAAGCTTAATGCTTACAAAAAGCTCATTTTAGTCACTCTTTGACTGTTTCTTTTCTCTTCTATCTACTATGCCACTCAGACAGCTTAAAACTACTAAAGTTTTCTTTAGCTCTTTGCTAACAGAATTTACTGTTTCTGACAAATATAAATTGGGATTCATTTAAACAAAGTAGGTTATAATGACAAACAAATAAAACCAAATTAAAAGCTGAGAATCATTTTATTATACATATATTTGCAACTTATAAGTAAATGTGATACATCAGAGCTATTCTCCAATAATGAGACCAAAACTCTCCCCAGTTTATAGTCAATGGGCTAGATGGTTTTGCCAGTCTTGTGCTCTGGCCTCAAAAATGCGTATTCCATAGTCAAAGTTTAGAAGTCATCCCATTATGAAGCATATTGCACATAGTGGTTGTACTCTCAGTACCTATCCAGTCAACAGTGTGCTGTGTGAATATAAGTAAGGAATTATATATTTAATTGACTGTACTTAATCAAAAACGTGTCTTTTAATTCTCTGCAATGGCCCAATCTTTAATATTTTGAATTATGCGAGCATTCCTGTTTAGAATGACAACATGAAAGCACTCCCCTGCATATATGGAGCTCATGATGACATGACCTATACAAAGTCATTTAGCCCTTTTTAAGTTAGATTTGACTTTGTCGAGAAATATTATAGCATTTTGATCTCAGAAGATCTCATACCTAAGTTCTTGCCCCTACTACATGAACTCAAATCTACCCAGATCAAAGGCAAAGTAATACTGATGTCCATTGCCATCTTTAGTGCGTATTTTATTTTATAGTTACAGTTGAGTAATAAACCGAGGTGTACACTATAAGTCTTCCTTAAAGTAGACTTGTGTTTGTGCCAGACATTTGAAAGTGCAGCATCTGAGTACCGGTGGCATGCCTGTTGGTGCCGTTGGGGGCTGACCCAGAGTGCCTGCATGTAACCGGATCCAGTCCCACTGTGCTGGCATGTACACACACACACGCACACACTCAGATAGGAGAGGAGATAGAATGACCTGGTGCGAGCCCTGGCGGATGGCCGATTGTCACACAGGCGCTTCCTCCCACTGCGGGTTAAATTTAGGCCAAGTTGTATTCTTACACTGCCAGCCTACCTCGACAGACAGTGTCCTGGCCCCTCAGCCAGTCAATTAGTCATCCAGTGAACTGGCTAGAAGTGTGACCTTCATCAGTGGCTCTGATAGAGACTAAAGTTAGCCCTGATGAGTGAATAAACAGTATGCTTCATTTAAGATTTCTTAAGATACTTGAGGCCTTTTAAACTTAGGAAAATTAAGAGAGAAAGCTTGAAACAGAGCACCCTCAGTGTGCCTCTTCTCCCTCAGCATTCCTGCCTTGTTTGGGTTAGCAGGGAGAGGAAAGGGCCGCGCAGGATATGACCTCATGTCTTTGAGGAAAAGCCGAGCGGACAGGGAGGCAGCCGAGGCCTCGTCTTGATGGAAAACAAACACGGGGGGTACACCAACCAGAAAGAAGGAAGGCAGGTCGTCAAAAAGAGAGGAACTGAAAAGAGAAATGTAGTCGCTGCTTGTAGTCGCCCTTTTTAAAGCAAATTAGGGCCATCTTCACCAGAATGTATGCCTTATTTTCCTTTTCTTGGTGCTTTTCCTGCATGAATGTTAGAAGACTGAATGAGGAGGCAGAGAAGATGGCGGCTTTGGGTGGAGGGAGAGATGGCCGGCAGCTCTGCTCAGTTCTCTGTAATTTGGAAGCTGTGTGTTATAGCCAGCAAGCTGAGCCAAGCGGAGCCGGGCCGCTCTGTGCTGGACCAGGATCTCTCATTACTCCCCACTTCCTCTCCTTGCGAGGCAGCCAAGCCAACCTCTTGGCAAGGGACTTAATTTTGGTTTTTGGCCGCCCTCTTTTCCCCACCCTGTGTCATTATGCTGCACAAATCGGAAAAACATGCATGCAGAAAGCGGCGGATGATGGAGGGGGATCGAGGAGAGTTTTGCTTTGCTTTGAGTGCATTTTTGGTTTTCCCTTTGCTTCAGATGCTTTGGGGCAATGCTGTTGCAGTTAAAAAAACGTTACCTTTACTGCGGTTGACAGGAAGGCTTTGCAGTTCTGGTTCTGAGCCAAGGTTGGACGGAGGCCCAGGACAAGACGAACATTGTTTTGGTTCACATTGGCTCTGTGGGAGTGGGTTTCGACATTAGCTTAAGTATGGAGATATATCTTAGGGTGGGAATGTGTGAGGGGGCAAGGGGAAAAGAGGACTTAAAACACTCCTATGGAGGATTAAAAAAATGGAAATAAGTGGAGACATATGTGCATAAAACCTGTGGGTGTCTCCACCTTCCTGCCTACTCATTCATGGAGTCACTTTGTCTTTTGTGTACTCTAAAGTGCCCTTGTGTGTCAGTAGCCATATCTCTATCAGCACTGGAACAACGACACACAGTAAGAAGCTTACAGGGGTATATAAATACTAATAAAATGCAACCACCTCTCAGACCACATCCAACTGAAACTGCAGGTTGTTGTTTTTGGTGTCGGATTTAGTTCCCACGGTCTTATAGTTGCAACAGTGTGAGTGATTGTTCAGCTTGTCTGTCCATCTATCTGTATCTATATTTGTATATATATGTGTGTGTGTGTGTGTGTGGGAGAGAGATAGTGCCCCTAGATACAGATCTTGTGGGCAGTCTCCTGACGTCTGTGCCTGCAAAAGGGAGCTCATGTCATCATTCCAGCCGGCCTGGCACCGTGTTTGAAAGTACCTTGTGTTTATTTGTCCCGTCACCCTGGGAAATCTGGGTTGGAGGGAGTGG